GTGGATTTAGAAGTATCCATCCGATTGACCAAATAAATGTTTCAATTAATTAACCTTTATGTAAGGTATTGGTTGAGATAAAAACGATTGCTCAAGTGGAAAGAAGTTATTTGGTCAATCGGATCACGAAATCTGATGGTATTTTAATATATTTATACTTACATGGGGATGACGGATTTTTGGAAAAACGTAAGAATCAAACAGTAGCTGAGGAATTCAACCTATTTATTGATATACCATGGCTGCATATTTTGTGACGGCGCGAAGTAGCAAAGTAGATTTATATATTTTTTAAACAATCCTAAATACATTTGAGTGGAATAATTTTTTTAAAACTGAAAAAGTTCATTCCTCAATAACTGGTGCCTTGAAAAACTAGGCATAGTTTTTCCGTTAAATTTACCATTTCTATTTTCAAATTAATCTATTTGACTATCAAATGACCTTTTTAACTTCAAATTGTTACTTTGTAATGTGATATTAAACTTTTATTAATAAAAAATTGAACGTTTTAACTTAAAATTAACCATTTTAATTTCACATTAATAATTTTTAATTTCAAATTTTCCCTTCTTGATTTCAAATTAACCTTTTTTATTTTCAAATTAACTATTAAAAAAACTTAGGAGATACATAGGTACAAAATGTAAACACGTGAAGTAAAATTTCTATATATTTCCAATTTTTAAAATAAATAATTGGGCTCCTTGAGGACCATATGAACATTAATTACAATTAAAAAAATAAATAAATATAAAAGAATGTCAATATAAAATTACTACACTATTGCTGTTTGTATGGAAAAGTATTATTGCGCATTAAGTTTCCAAAAATGAAACGAAACAGAAAAGGGGAGGCTCGTGCCCCCCAAATTGATATCTGCAATAAATGGCTTTGGTGGAATGGTTGTGAGTTGCTTAAAAAACACCTAAAAACAACTTAAAATAAATCAACAACCAGGAATGAGGAAGAGAAGAACAAACATATAAAACGGGATATAATGATTTATTAATTAATTGCAGGTTCATCAAATCGCAGACTACAGCTTTTTCCCGTCAAAATAATCTTTTTTGATTCCAAATTTATCCTTTTAACTTCAAATTAACTTTTTTAATTTCAAATTAACCTTTCTTTACTTCTAAGTTAGGTAACCTATTTAATACAAATTAAAAACTTAGGAGATGGTATGGAATAGTGTAAACATGCAAATTCCTCTTTATTTGCGATTTTTTTAAAAATATAAAAAATGGGGCTTAGAGAAGGATAAATGAAAATAATTAAAATTTTAAATGAATATATATGCAATTGAATAACAAATCAAAAAAATATCTTAAAAAATGTGTACAAAAAATATATAATAGGTTCATACTACATGAAAATTAATTAAAATTCAAGGTTTTTAAAAATAAATGATGCGCCTTATGATGTGGGTTTTTAAAATTCTTTTTCTTATTTTTCTTCTTCTCTTCTTATATAACAATATCATACAATTTTATTATACATAAAATATATTATTAAAGGTGTGCTGAACTTTATTTTCCTTTGTTATAACTAGCGATGATCTCCATTCCCAAGTATTTTCTTCTGTTTAAAAATCCGTCACCTAAAACAAAATTTTTTATTAGAATTAATATTTTTACAGTTTACATTGTACCAATATGAAAAATTCCTTTGCTTTCTTCTCCAATTAAGAGAAACAATTATATTAAAATTATCTCATAATTTCCATCAGATAATCAAAAATTTTGAAATATAGGATTTTTAGTATTGCTATACATAGGTCCCCACCAGAAATCAAAAGCCCTTTAACTATTACATTCTTTATAGTATCGTTGATATAAATGAAAAATAAAATCGGTCGTCAGGCAGAGCCCTGAGAAACACAGGTCATTAACGAGTTGAATTCGCTCAAAGTATTAAATGCTGTCAACTTGCCATTAATTCTTATGTACTACAAAATACTGTTGTCATAAATAAAAAATAAAAACGTTCCTTATATAGGGCCTTGAGGATCACTATACTCAGTAAAACTAAAGTTGCACAATGCATCACTAACGTAAATAATATTCTTAGATACTCCAAATCTCCCAAGAAACTTCATTAGAGACGTGTCTTTTTTTTTTCTTTTTTTTCTTTTTTTTTTTTTACAAATTTTGTAGTGTTAAAAAATGTGGTGGAGCCTATAACTCAGCCCGCCTTGTATAAAGGGTATCCCGTGAACTGACGTCAATACTTCAGAAGGTTATTCTACTGAAAAATTAAGTTTTTAGCAATTGGTAATAACTGACCTTTGAGAAATTAAGTGCATATGTTTATAGGTCATTAGTAGGAGCAACTTTTCTCCTAACGTTACCTTATGCACATTTGCATATACATATACACTCGATAAAAGAACATTCTGCCCTTAAATTGTTAAAAGATAAAATTTGGTTAATTTGAAAAACAATTCAATATGAATTTAAACAAAAGGAAAACTCTTTAAATTACTATTTAATTTACACATTACGCGAACACCTCCCAGACAAACTAAAAATACAACTTCCGGGAGAATCCTCTCCACAAGAAGAAAAAAATACGATACAGATGTTAATACACTGTCAGGCAAAAATAACTATATATATATATATATATATATATATAAAATAACTAAATAAATAAAAATCTAAACCAAAATTAAACAAATTTTATTTGTCCGTATTTTATTTTTCATTTTTCTTAGTAATTTACTTTTTTTTACTTTTTTAAACAAATACTCAATTTTTAGTTAGAAACGTAGAAAAAGTGAAACTTTGATTAATATATAAAAGTATATACAAATCAAGTTATCTTACAAGTGGGCAGAAATTTTTTAATCCTTTTTAAAAAGATAGTTCCTACTCACTGTAAGTTGTTTTGCAACGATTCGGTTTTCGAGCTTGTATCTCATCATCAAGTTGTAGAACTCCTTCAACCTGATGATGAGCTGTGAATCTGGTGTCCCTCAGAGCCTTGTTTTAGGACCGATTTTATTTTTATTTACATCAACGCTATTTTTAGAACATTAGAATCGTGGACAGGTACACAGCTTTGGACAACTTCTACTCTATTGAGTCTGGTGTCGCTCAGGGTCTTGTCTTAGGACCGATTTTATTTTTTATTTATATAAATGATATTTTTCCAGGATATTAGAATCGAAGGTTCGTTGACAGCGTTTGCTGGTGCTTGAAGTGACTTCAACCCTAATAAGTTTAGTGTCCCTCAGGGCCCTGTATTAGGACCGATTTTATTTTGGATTTAAATCAACGATATTTTTGAGGACGTTAGAATCAAAGGCACATTGACAAAATTCGCTAGTGCTTTGAGCGACTTCAAGCCTATTAAGTCTAGTGTCTTTATACCGATTTTATTTTTTATTTATATCAACGATGTATATTCGCTGACATTAGAATCAAAGTCATGTTGACATCGTTAGTTGGTGCTTGAAGCGACATCAACCCTACTGAGACTGGTGTCCCTCAAGGCCCTGCCTTAGAGCCGATTTTATTTTTTATTTATATCAACGATATTTTTTTAGGATATTAGAATCAAAAACACATCGACAGCGTTTTCTGATGATATTTTCTTTTAATACTCTCGTCAAAATCTTCTGAAATTGAGTCTAAAATCTAAATTTATGTATTCCTAATGTTATTGAAAATCATATAGCTATGTATCATAATTGACCCTATTAATTATTTTAATTAATTATACTTTTACTCTAAGGTCTTGGTTGATATAAAAATAACTAGTATCACGCTCGTGGCACATGCCTTTGAGTTCGGCCTGAAGAAAGCGTTCAGTTCAAAAGCCCCTTTTTCAGAACTATTTTTTAAAATTATTAAATTGGCCTCGTTCGCTGGTATAGTGATGTCCCAAAGGCAAGAACAAGATTTAATGCTAATTTTTAATAATTTTACTACAAATAAACGACCTGAATCCGCCATTATGTATGGATCTAAGGCATTTTTAGACCAATTTTCGGTACGCCACAAAAATTTTAATGCCCCAAGGCGATACGTTCTTATTGAAAAACATGGTCAATTGGCCAAGTGGTACAAAGAAATATTTTGAGTTTTTAGTAAAAACTTTTTACGCAATTATGTCTGAGTCTTAGATTGTAAGACGATTTAAAATAATAAATCACTTGTTTAACCCATTATTTACAATTTTTATTTCTTGCAAAATACAGAAATTCCGAGGGAAGTTGGCACATTTGAACTGCAAATCTTATAAAAATTAAGACTAGGAGTTTATATAATTTTTACATTTGTGCAATAGTAACGACTGTTTCCTTAATATTTTACAAAGAAAGAAACCTAACGGTAGTAAAAGAAAGAGAAGAAAGCGCCAAAGCAAATGGAAGGAGTGGAGCCGGGATGTCGTGGGGGCGCATTAAGAAGAAGGCAGGGTGGGCGCCATATTAAAATAAGAGGTTTCAGCCCATGGGTCGGCGGGGGTGGCACGAGTGGAGTCGGGGGTGGCTCGGCCGAGGGGTTGAGTAGGGTGGCCGACCCCCCAAGGCGTCTTTCTTTCATTTCCTTTTGTCATCCCCCACCAGTCTAAGCGGTGACGTCACAAACATGGCTGCCAACACAAGACGCTATTGATTTTCTTCTTAGTCTCTACCTTCAAGGATCTCCCACTCGGCGTACTTAAGGCGGCCGGACAGGGTGGCGGGTTCGGAGGGGCGAAAGTGCCGCCCCCGCATCCCGCCACTGCACTGCCCTCGCCTCCACCCACGACTCACTTGAAGGAACAATTTACCATTATTTTCAAGACCTTTTTACCCAGATTTCTTCAATATTTTTTCGAAGATAAGAAAATAAAAAAAAGAACCGCTCCACAATGGGGCAAAAATGGCATAAAATCCTAATTTGCAAAAAATTTAAAAAAATTATTGATGTTAATTTTTATTGCAGTATACATTCCAAAGTTTCTTGCCACAACACCCAAAAAGTGGAAACATTTTATTTTACACTTGGAAACACTACAGAGCGTGTATTCTATGGAAATTATGTTCCATAAGTCAGCAATATATATTTGTTTGGGCCAACCAGCTTGAAGTACACAATTCCGCAAGATGTCTTACCTAAAAAGCAAATAAAAATATTAGTGTTATATTTTTAAAAGTTAAATAAATAATACAACTGTTACCATTGATTGCTGGAGCATGGTTGAAGCAGCAACAGTCAATTTATTACCTAGTTTATTTAATATTAAATTTGAGGTCATTCAATATGTCCATATATCAGCGTCATACTCCATCAAAAATAATTTCTTTACAAAAAAATTATTTTAGCTTTGAAACCTGAAAAAGAAATAAAAATTATCTTAATTATTTTGAATATTGATTTTTTTTTTTCAATATTAGTATGTGTACCGCCAACGAACGGTTGAAGCAGCAACAGTCAATTTATTACCTAGTTTATTTAATATTAAATTTGAGTATCAGTCCATATATCCATATATCAGAACATACTCCATCAAAAATGATTTATTTACAAAAATAATTTTAGCCTTGGAACCTGTAAAAAAATGAAGATTATCTTAATTATGTGTGGTTTTTAGTGACCGTTAGCCAATGAATATTTGGAGATCGTGAGGTGCGGTCTGGTGTGACGTAGGTTTTAGAAAAACATTTTTTTTATCGTGCCAACGCTTTGATCTTTATTGAGCCCTGAAGATGATCTCAATAAAGATCGAAACATTGGCATGACAAAGAAAATGTTTTTCTAAAACCTACGTCACACCAGGCCGCACCTCACGATCTCCAAATAATTATCTTAATTATTTTGAATATTGATATTTTTTTTATTTTACATATTATTATATTAATTATCAACCAAGACCTTACGTAAAAAGAATATTTAATTGAAGGAAGTAACTTGGTCAATTGACCACTAAAACGTAAATGAATTGATTAATATATTAAATTAATTAAAATGTTTTTGAACGTGTACCGCCAACGATCGATGTCTGGGTGTGCCACGCCTTGACTCCATACAGGGAGCGGGTAGGAATGCCACCCGATACTAGTATGTGGGTCTCTGTTCCGACTTCTGGAGGGAACAGGACCATTTTTATTGTATATATTTAGTACTGTTAAACATCTTGTTTTGTGTATATTGAGACTGAATGTGTTTATTAATGTGAGTGTTTAGTTTAAGAGGGCCGATGGCGGAATTGACTCGAATGACCTACAAACACTTTTGGGCAACAAGCCATTGTATGTGTAGAGAAAGGTTGCCCGATGTGTTCCACTTAAGTGAACGGTGCCATTCTTCGATTCTATATAGAGAGCGAGTAGGATATTAAAATGAGCACGGAAGCTAATATTTTGGTTCCCTGTTCCAATTCTTACATGAATCAGGGCTGTTTTATTGTATATAGTTTTGTGTACCTATCGAGTGTATACAGGGTGAGTCATTTTTTGACGCACCATTCGTTACAAATTAGTTTTAGTAGGTTGGAAGGAAAATAAACAAAACCAATATTATTAAAACATTATTCAAACACAACGTAAAAATTTAAAAAAATTCTTCACAAATTAATTTGATTAAGGTTTAAGAGTATATTTTTCGGCCGATCATCGTTTTACGATAGACTAGGCTACTTTGTTGCAGCAAATGGAAGTCTGTTCGAACAATTATTATAATGATTTTGAACATTTTTGGTTTGCTAACAAAGGAGATTGTTACATTTATTTAATTTTTTTACTTGACCAGAAAAAATGAGATTGTTACATTAATTTAATTTTTTTTTTACTTTACCAGAAAAAAGGAGATTGTTACATTTGTGTGGTGAGTAGTGACCGTTAATCGATAATTATTCAGAAATCGTGAGATGCGGTCTGGTGTGATGTAGGTTTCAGAAAAACATTTTTTTATCTTTATTGAGATCATCTTCAGGGCCTAGGATTTACAAACATTGTTTACATTTACCGTCTATGTATTTGTTAAATGTTAACAATGTTTGTACATCCCAGGCCCTGAAGATGATCTCAATAAAGATAAAAAAAATGTTTTTCTGAAACCTACATCACACCAGACCGCATCTCACGATTTCTGAATAATTGTTACTTTTATTTAATTTTTTTACTTTAGCAGAAAAAAATACTCTTAAACCTTAATCAAATGTTTAACGCCGTGATAAACGCAAAGAGGAGAAAATACTTAGTCCTGAATTGACTATTTTCTTCCTTATTTTCGTAGCAACATTTTTGGTTCTAATTTTTATTTAATTTTAGTTTTAATTTATTTTGCCGTAACTTATATTCTTTTTTTAAAATACCCAGTAAACAACAAAAAATAAAATGTTTAAAAATTGCAGGTATTTACTAAAAAAGGTGGCCATCGGTCACTTGTTTTGTCTCTTTGTGTCTCTATCTAATTGATGGTCGATTGAATATTGATTAGCCATCGACCTCTTACACTACACATTCACGCCAATATACAGGGTGAGTCATTTTTTGACGCACCATTGGAAAATCAAGTGGGTGCGTTTAAATCTGACTCGAACCAGTGGTAGGCCTTCTCGCACGTAGTCCAGCTCTGAAAGAAAGTTTTCGAACTGCAATGCGTAAACTGACATTAACATTCGAAACAATAAACATGTACAATAAGAAATTAACAATAAAATGTACAATGGAAATGTACAATTAAAACAATGTTGCGTTTATTCGATATAGCATCGATTTTATGAGGTTTTGGTGGAATATTTTCATACTCATCCTACAGCGCCATTCTTAATTCCTCCAAATTATGTGGCATCATTGGACGACTTTTTACCCTTTTTGACGAATCGTCCCAAAGGTGTGCCATGCTGGCCACTCCAAATATTGAATTGAAGCCCGTTCCAAGTAGTCACCGACGATACTAGCTGTGTGGGGCTTTACACTGTCATGCATGAAAATAAAACAGTCGCCAATTTGTGGCATATAAGGAATTCTATTGATGACACTTCTTCAATGTATCGCGCAGTTGTGAGGGAACCCTCGATGAAGATCAAGTTTGTGGGACCTTCCATAGAAATGCCTGCTAAACCATAACATCACCACCTGCATAGCTTCACCGGAGTGAAAATGTTGAGGGAATGAATCGCTCTCTTGTTCTTCTCCAAACCCTCTCTCGGCCGTCTGAAGACCTGAGACAAAACTGAATCATCCGGAAACAAGATTTCAGTCCATCTTCCTGAGGCCAATTGATGTGGAATGTTCTGTGCCTTGTTAGAAGGTAGGCTTTCTCGCACGTAATCCATCTTCTGAAAGTCTTCGAACTACAGTGCGTAAACTGACACATTCGAAACAATAAACATGTACAATAAAAGAATTTACATTAAAATGTACAATTAAAACAATAAAAATTAGAAATAGTACAACTTAAAAAACTCAAACCACTGGACCGTTAGAAAGAATTTTTTACAGAAAACTGGGGGATTTTATATGTGTTTTATTTACCTCTAGTCTTTTAAAATGGACCAAATGTTGTTGGCCATAATTAATGGAAGATTGTCTAAGAACAGAGAAAGCAGTGATCAAGTACTCCATCACCCTTACTGAGTGAATGGCTTGTAATTTGGAAAGAAGTATTTGAGAGGAAGTAAGAGTGAGTAGTTTTGGATATAGAAACTGATTGCGTTGGAAGCAGAAATGACCTAGCAGTTGATAGCACTTGGAGCCTTCCCGGTGGCGGAGACCGAACCACATCGAGGTCTGACCACGGCCGGACTACCGAAGGGGTGGGTGATTCTCGAAAGTTGCCGGTAATTTATTGTAAATTACTGTGTGGTGATTAGTGACAGTTAGTCTATGATTATTTGGAAATCGTGAGTTGGGGTCTGGTGTGACGTAGATTTCAGAAAAACATTTTCTTTATCGTGCCAACGTTTCTATCTTTGTTGAGATCATCTTCAGGGCCTGGGATTTACAAACATTGTTTAAATTTAACAAATACATGTAAGACGTGGAAAAAAGTGAATGTATACAATGCAAAAAAAATTATATTCAATCAAAGTAAAATGAGTGAGTAGAAATACTTTGATTGAACATAAAAAATATTTGTACCACATGTATTTGTTGAATTTAAACAATGTTTGTAAATCCCAGGCCCTGAAGATGATCTCGAAACGTTGGCAAGATAAAGAAAATGTTTTTCTGAAACTACGTCACACCAGGCTGCATCTCACGAATACCAAATAATCATTGTAAATTAAACAGAAACATGAATTGGCTATTTATGCATTTTTTCTAGTTACTTAGTAAGTTCAGTTGATTCCATTTTCCAACCAAAATTGCAATTATTTTCCCCCCAGATTTTAATTGAGCAGTTGATTCGCCTTGGAAGATAATATGGAGTGGCAGTTTCTTCTTCATTGGATAAACTATTAGGTCAAGGTGGAATATTTGTTGTGCTATTGTCTTCTCAGATAACAATGACTGGCGTAGTATAATAGTTGTATCACTTCCCTGTGTTTTACCCTGTAAGAATGCGTTTACCAATTTTGCTGAGGTTCTTGAACCATGGATTTGCTATATCTCGTGTACTAGAGTTGGTCTCTTTCTCCATTTATTTTGTATGGACCTATTCTGAAATGACAGCGTCTATGTTCGATCTGTGTTATCTGAATTATGGGCTCGGGAAGTACACTAGGAAGCCGTGGTTTGGAATTCCCTAAGCACTGTAGCCTTTCGCCTTATTGTACTTTTCATTGTTTCTTAGTTCTATCTTTTTTTAATATGTAGTGGATCTTTGATAGCTATAGCAATTGTTTTGCCCTGGTCTTCTTAATATACTAGATTACGGCTACATTGATCGGTTACTTCATATTCGAAAATATGGTTGGCAGATTCTTCCTGCTAATCGCATAACCCATAAGGTCATCGTGGAATATACACATGTTGTGCTTTCTAAGTCAGTGCCCTGTATGTCATATCACTCCCTTGAGTATCCAGTCCAATTTTAACTGTGCTTTCTAGTTGTGACGAGGGTTCTTTAATCAATCTGGCACCTCTGGAATTCGTCATGGACCGATTCTGTGTAGGGGTTTGTTTGAACTTGTTATCCCAAGGCACTGCACCTGTATAAAGTCAGGCGATGGTGCTTTGAGTAAAACGGCGGCACTTCGATACGAGACGTGAAAATAAAATGGGATGAGTTTTTGCCTCAAAACCAAAGTAGTAACGGAATCAAATGTAGATGGCAGAAAAATGAATGAAAACAGGATAGTTTATAGAAAAGGACTTTTATAACAAGCATAATTTAGCTAACAATAGTTTACTGATTTAAAACAAATGTTTTGAGTTGGAAAGTTATTTCTGAAAATTACTTTAATGGGGAAAAATGTCGAAACCATGTTTAATACTTAATTAGAACTTGTTAGATAGGCTTTTTCGAACCTTGAAATTGGTTAAATCAAGTAGACAGGCTAGCCGCTAGTTAAAAAGTTAATGGCTTAACATACCCGACCTTTAGGCATATTGTGCTTTCTATCGGAAAGTTCAATAATCAACATCACCTTAGCGTGTAAGTTGATTTCCCCAAAAATTAGCCTCCCGATGGGTTGGTCTAATCAGGCCTAAACTAATTAGAGTTTAGAGGCCGATCGAAGCTAGGCCTCGTCTTCAAACTAAACTCCCTGGCCTTCATCACTCCCTCTATAATAACATCAGCCTCATCTCCTTCCACTGCACCATCCCAACTAATTTGCATCGGTTTTCATTTTAGAAGGAGGGGGGCTGAATTTGAACTTCAGAACGTAAACCGTCGATATCGACCCACGTCTCCTCCTGAAACAAAGCAACGTAGTTGTTAATATTTCATGCTCAAGTTAGATTCCAACGTTTCACACTTTGTTATTAATTTATTCAATGTAAGTAGGCGGTATTAAAATAAAGCCGATTATCGACGCATCCTTTTGTCATAAAACTCCCTTCTGCTGTAAACGTTTTATATAATTAAAAATTTAAGTCTTACTGAGATGTAGAATTACACTACTAAAGAAGACTTACTGTATTGTTTGACCAACAGAACTTACCATTTTTTATTAATTAAAAATAAAACTGACCTAATGACAAATGTTATATTATTTTCTTTCTATTTATGGCGATGCTTAATAATTTACAATTTAAAAATAATAAACTTCTGCGTGATATTAAATCCGTACTTTTTTATCCATGGTACACTAATGGCCTCGCTCAACAATTCTACTGAGTGAGGATCACCAATTTTAATCTACATTTATTTGGTACTATGTCGAAAAATATTAGATACCTGTCTGAGCGTTCTTGCCCTAGTAACCGAGAATTTTTTAAAAACTAGTTAACATAACTTTAAAAAAAAATTTCCACCTTTCATTTGCATATTCTTCAAGGTTATTATATATATATATATATTAAATCATTTGTTTATTTTGTTTACGTGTTACAAAAATAATATGGATGAATGTATTTAACAAGTTACAGTTCGTGGTCCGATTGACCAATTAACACTTTTCAATTAATTAATATTTATGAAAGGTATTGGTTGAGATAAAAAAGTCAGTGTCTCGAACGGGATTCGAACCCACGACCTTCGGCTAAATACGCCGCTACTCTACCACATGAGCTATCGTGACTTCGACCCGCTCAGACACCAACTTCCCACCTGAACCTCATTCGAATCCCGCTCGTGACACTGATTTTTTTATCTCAACCAATAGCTTTCATAAATATTATTATTATTTTATTTTTTTTATTGGCCTTATGATCTTTGCATATTAGCCATGACGAATTCTTATATATGTTGTTCAAATTGGGGGTTATCGGGAAAAAAGGGCCAGAGGCGACGGTGGGGATCGAACCCACGACCGCGGCGTGAGAGTCTCTCATGCTAACCACTCGGCTACCGCGGTCCCCCCTCATAAATATTAATTAATTGAAAAAAGTATTTAACAAGATTATATACATAAAAGTTACAGAAACAAAAAGATGCTTTGAATAAACTAGGTAAAAAAATGTGTAGGTATTTTTTGAGTCTAATTTGTCTTTGTTTAAATTTTTTGTTTTTGTTAAACATCAATTCCGTCTGGTTTTTAAAAATGAAATTCATTACTTATTTAAACATTTATTTGGTCGTTTAGGGGTCAACATCTACAATTTTAAAAGACATACGTATAACAAAGGATATTAGTATTTCACATCATTTTATGATGAAAGTTAGCTTACATTTTTTAATTTAATTTTTTTTTTACCATTTGGCGTCTGTATTTTAAGTTTATTTAAGTTGTTTTGAATTTATTTCAAGTTATGTATATATCAGTAAATTTGGCTTTTTACGTAGAATTAGACTGTAATAAGCAGGATTGTATTAAATGAGGCAAGGGATATAAAAAATTACAAAAACCAAAAAACAAATCCTTTAATGTGAGTTAATATTTTTTTAAAAATTGAAATAACCAATTCGGATTCGTTTTGAGCACCCATTAAAACCCGAAAATACGAATTTTTACAGTAAAGACAAAGTGGACATTTTTGGATTGTTATATGGTATAAAAGAAAAAAAACCGTTTTCCAATGGTTCTAATATCGTGGACATCGGATAAAATTTGGTTGTTATGAATTTTTAAATTGGAACATCGAACAGTGATGGATCAAAAATTGCTCCTGCTGATCCAATTGAAAAGTGTTTTTTTCCCCTATAAATATTTGTATTTAAGGGTTTTAATCGGTGCACAAAACGAATCCAAATCTTTAATTTCAATTTTTTTTAAACTTACATTATTGGAATCGTCCTTTGGGTTTTTTTAACTTGTTATATGTCTTACCTCATTTAATACGATTCTATTTTTTACAGCCTAATCCTTCGTAAAAACTCAAATATATTGGTATACAAGAAAGATAATGAATTAAAATAAAAAAAGATCTCATTAAATACAATTCTGAATATTAGTTTTGTAACCTAGGTAAATAACAAAACGACTGATAAATAATAACTTTGAAATACACGCAAATTAAAGGAATAAAACAAAAATGGTAATAACAGTTAAATGACTCCACGTATCCACAATAAATGTTGTAGGGTTTTATAACTAAATGTCTTTTACTTGTTTATTAGTGCAAACCTTACGTAAAACGAAACCTGTGTTGGTATAGTCAGAAAGAAGAAACATTCTGATTTACGAAGGTTAACTCCATTATATTTCGTGGTCCGAGTGACCAAATAACTTTTTGTGTCTGGTGTTCCACTTAAAAATGCCTAACTCCACTAGATTTTATACAAATACAACGTTATTACAACCTTTCAATTAATTAATTTTTATGTAAGGTATTGGTTGAAATAAAAAAGTTAGTGTCACGATCAAAGGTCGTGGGTTCGAATCGCCTGTGACACTAACTGTTTCATTTCAACCAATACCTTACATAAAGATTATTTTATTGAAAGGTTGTAATAACGTTGTATTTGTATAAAGTCTAGAGGGGTTAGGCTTTTTTAAGTGGAACACCGGACATCGGGGAAAAATAAATCTCCCCCGGCTGTAAGGCTGAAAGATTTTGACTGTACATTTTTTCTATACAATAAAAATTTATATTTAAGAGTTTAACAAGTATCTACATTGCGTTTTTCAGAAAGGCATTTTCTTTTGCCTACGCTACTCGTATATTCGTTTTTGTAACTGTTTATATATCTAAACTTATTTATTAAAAATACTTCATACTACTGTATTAAAATCGTCTGATATATATAATTATCTTGTAATACCCAAATTCATATGCTCAACGAAGCTTACTTTTAAAGGCCAGAAAATCTATGTCTTGATAACATACGTTCAAAGAAGAAAAATTAATCTTTCTAAGTTATAATAACCCTGTATTTGTATTAAACCCATGAACACATTTTTTTAGGAAAAGAAAAAAAAGTTTCTATAAAATTATTCGCCTCCAAAAGTTTCCAATTTTTTTAACGTAGTAAAAAGGTGTTAGCTTTACTTCACCTATCCACAAAAATCTTTACAAGCGTTTATTACACATATTAGGGGTATTGACGATGTTTGTAAGATAACTCGAATAGAGAAATGTCCAGTAAGATCATGACCACCCCCATCTTTTCGTAGCATGTTAAACGTTAATTTTTCCGTTATGTTGCACGAGGCGATTGGTAGAACGAAGAATAAAGCTGTAACAGTCCTTGAAGGCTTGTTGTTGTTTGTTTTGGTTTTCTTTTTGTTAAATTGTAAGATGCCAGAAGTTAATAAAAAAGTGTGTGGTGATTAGTGGCCGTTAATCGATATTTATTTAGAAATCGTGAGATGCGGTCTGGTGTGATGTAGGTTTCAGAAAAACATTTTCTTTATCGTGCCAACGTTTCGATCTTTATTGAGATCATCTTCAGGGCCTGGGATTTACAAAAATTGTTTACATATAACAAACCACATCCAAAATGTAATTGTTATATGTAAACAATGTTTGTAAATTCCAGGCCCTGAAGATGATCTCAGTAAAGATCGAAGCGTTGGCACGATAAAGAAAATGTTTTTCTGAAACCTACATCACACCAGACCGCATCTCACGATTTCTAAATAGGTATTAATAACAAAGGAAAATTAATCAACTCTTTCATTCAAAATGCTACCTATGCACTAGAAAAGTAATAGCAAATGACACGCCTCAATTCTTGCCAACATACCTAACATATATCCTAACGTCTAACAGCCACAACTTTATAGGATAGAAGAAGTATCTATTATGTACGAATGAGAGTGTAAGGACAGGTCAGAAATTGACAAAAGAAATATATTGTTCTGATTTAATTAATGCGTATTTAAGAATAAAAATATATGAAAACAAAAAACAGCTGTTAAATTCATGGCTGCTATGTTGGTTACCTACGACCTAATGGATAGCAATGTGACTACATTTTCGACCCTAACATTAGCCCTGGCCTGTTAAATCGAGCAGTGTTAACTAGCCGATACAAGTCTATGTCATCATTTTTCTCGATCTAGCACGACCTAACAGAGTTAGCAGTGTTAACACAAAGGTCATGAATACCCCTATTATGTTATATCAACATTACCTCCGGAATTAAAATTGAAGATTCGATATAAAACTAAAATATTGAGAGGTTTTTATTGATTTTATCTTTAATTTGCTCAGTTGTCATCTTAAATAAACTAAGGCAGAACACCCAACTTGTGATACCGTGGATATTAGGAAAAAAATCCAAGGGAGTTATGAACTTTTAAGTGGAACACCGTAAGATGAAGGAAAAATAGGATCCCCGATCTTCCCTTATTCTGTCTAAAAATAAATAAATGCGTTGTATACGATTTCACTCAGATCACAATTACACAAGCTAACTATAGAAATACATAATTGATCTATTTATTTAGTAGGATTTTGCTCACACAGTTGTTACCCCAGCTTCCAGGAAATTATCCGAAGGACTAACGGATTTTGTTGAAAACGTTGAACGGGATTGTTGTCTCGCACAAGGCTGATTACGCTAATGGGCTCGTTCTTTGAACACGAACCGCATGTTGATTGATTATACATACGCAATTATTAACGTTTGTGGACGGCCTGCGAATGATGAACTCGTGTTGAATGAATAGTCCTGGTCACCTATCTGACAAACTTGGGCATTCTCTTCTTGTCTATGTACTATTCCATCAAATTTTAATATAGGAGGGCTTTTAAAGTTGGTTTTCTTTAAGCTAATAATTACTTAATGTTTTATGATGAAAATTTATAAAATCTATTAAATCTTAAATATATAAATGTAGGGTGAAAAACTGAAAATTTCCCCACCC